TTAGACTCCATTGTAGTCTCTAATGGGGCTTGGAGGGGATTCTATCTAACACACTCTCTAAAGGACACTGAGATAGCCTCCGCTAGAAAGACCACCCTCCATGGCCCATTAGCCCTCAATTGTAGTCTCTACTGGGGCCTCGAAGGGCTTATTGCCCTTTTGTTCCTTGTGTCTAAAGATTGTGTAGGGTGTGGCTGGAGGCGGTGCATGGAGGCGGGACAAGGGTGGCGCTTGCTGCAGAGTATGGGTGGGGCCTGTAAGGGGGCCCTTGATTTATTTTGCCCGGGGCCCTGAGGGTTCTCAGTCCGCCCCTGCTGCCCCCCATACACACACACATACTGCCCCCCATGCTGCCCCCCATACACACATACTGCCCCGCATACACACATACTGCCCTCATACACACATACTGCCCCTCATACACACATACTGCCCCTCATACACACATACTGCCCCCATACACACATACTGCCCTCATACACACACACTGCCCCCCATACACACACACACACTGCCCCCCATACACTGCCGCCCCATACACACACATTGCCCACATTCACACACACACTGCAACTGTTACACACACATACTGTCCCACACATACACTGCATCCCTGACATACACTGCCCCCCCTACTCACACACTACAACCTTCACACACTCACACACTGTCCCCCTCACACACACACACACACTGCACCCCTTACACATTGCACCACTCACACACACCACTGCTCCTATGCCCTACTACCGCCCCATTTCCCAGCAGACCTCAGGTAAGTTGTCAAACTGTTCTTAAACGGTTTGACTACTTACTCTGGGAGGGGGTCCCGGCACTATTGACACCATAACCACTACACTGAGCTGTAGTAGTTATTGTGTCTGGATTATTTCTTTAAATAATCTACAAGTGCCCCTCCCGAGATCAGGCTCTGGATCCGCCACTGCTCTTACACTGCTCTAACGGTATTTAGGGAGACCGAGCCAGAGAGAGGGCGCTTGGTGATACTGGGAGCTACTTCCGCCAGACTTACCTCTCCACAGGCTCTGGTAATGTGGGTCCTACTTCCGAGTATGCACGCCGGCTCTACAAGCTCTGATGTCGTCCTTTCCTTCTGGGCTAAGAAAAGTATACTTCATGCCATAGAGGATTACTGGAGAACGGAAACTCACTTGCTTTGCAATTGGACCATGTCCCTAAACTATTGGAGGACTACTCAGATTGACCTTAAGTATATCTTTCAGCTATTTGTCTACAATATCATTTAATAATGAACTAATGCTTGCTTACTCAAATATTCATTGCTTCAAACTACTAATTATATGGAGGACAACTCCCATCATGTTTATTCACAATGAACTGTTTCTTGCTTTGCAAATACTCAATGCTTCAAACTACTAATTATATGGAGGACAACTCCCATCATGTTTATTCACAATGAACTGTTTCTTGCTTTGCAAATACTCAATGCTTCAAACTACTAATTATATGGAGGACAACTCCCATCATGCTTATTCACTATGAACTGTTTCTTGCTTTGCAAATACACTCAGTGCTTCAAGCTACTAATTATATGGAGGGCAACTCCCATCATGCTTATTCACTATGAACTGTTCTTGCTCTGCAAATATTCTTAGTTACTTGCTTATTGTTTCTATTGAAGATTATTCTCATGAACTTAGAGAATGTTGCTTAATGCATCTCTGAGGAAATACGTAATAATGAACTTTGTGTTGTGATTACTTGCACTTCTTCTTATTGGATTATTGCCTAAATGCAATTCATTTAAGTTTAACACTTATTAAAACTTAGTTTGAATCAAGTTACCAGCAATTTTCTCTTTTCTTAAAGCTACAGTATTGATACTTTAAAGATTCTCTGTTTCTTCACAATTGTAATTAGGGAGTTTACAAGCTGCAGTTGAGTTCCAATCCAAATCACCCATGTAGCGTAACATCATTGAAGGAAAAATGAATTCCCAAGTTTATCAAGACATTTTGCAGGAGAACTTAAGGCCATCTGTCTACCAGCTGAAGCTCAACAGAAGATGGGTGTTGCAACAGGACAATGACCCAAAGCATAGAAGTAAATCAACAACAGAATGGCTTAAACACAAGAAAATACGCCTTCTGAAGTGGCCCAGTCAGAGTCCTGACCTCAACCTGATTGAGATGCTGTGGCACGACCTCAAGAAAGCGATTCACACCAGACATCCCAAGAATATTGCTGAACTGAAACAGTTCTGTAAAGAGGAATGGTCAAGAATTACTCCTGATCGTTGTGCACGTCTGATCTGCAATTACAGGAAACGTTTGGTTGAAGTTATTGCTGCCAAAGAAGGTTCAACCAGTTATTAAATCCAAGGGTTCACAAACTTTTTCCACCTGCACTGTGAATGTTTACATGGTGTGTTCAATAAAAACATGGCAACATTTCATTCTTTGTGTGTTATTAGTTTAAGCAGACTGTGATTGTCTATTGTTGTGACTTAGATGATGATCAGATCACATTTTATGACCAATTTGTGCAGAAATCCATATTATTCCAAAGGGTTCACATACTTTTTCTTGCAACTGTATGGCGACTGGTATATAGCAGCTGCTGATAGATTTACAACCTCCAATAGCGATTGCTAGGAGTTACTTGCTGCCAGATATACCAGAAAACATGTGGACCACTGACAGAGCACATCATGTGCTGCGGGCAAGGAGAGCTGAGGGAGATCCATCAAGGGACGTTATAATTTCCACTATTTTAACACCAAGGAATTCACTGTCAAGAAATGCAGAGGAACCAATGTTTCTTATGAGAGTACGTTACTGCATAACATCCAATATCTCTCATTCCTCATTTGCGAAAACAATATTAGTGTAAGAGTGTGGCAGATTTTCTGCATTCCCACAATATAATGTTCACTTGGGGTAATCTGTTTAAGCTACTAGCCTTCCAAAATGGCAAAATGTCTGTTATCCCTCCAGGGACCCTCATTGATTTGTGAGGTCACTTGGGCTCACTATGCCTGAAAACCTTGTTCCATCTCTTCTCCCCATCTTCACCTTGCAACATTTGCTGAGGCTATTGTTCACCGAGGGCGAAGCAGCTCGCCCTGCTTGAGGACCTGGTCAACAGAGATCCAACCTGCTGAATTTTTTCAGAAGCTGTTGAAGACACTGTTGGTCTCATAATGTACTGCAGGGCTTTCAGGCCTACTTCTGTAAAGTTAAAAAAAAACTTCTGTAGCATTAAAAATATATATTTTTGACCTTTGGATTTAATTTCTTTTTTATTTTTTTTTTATTACTTTTTATTAAGAAATTTTGTTTTTGGGTTACAAGACAATTCAAAAAATACATACATACAGTCATACAAAATGCATCCGATTGATGTAAATAAATCATTTTATGTAGAGAGAATACATTCATTAAGATATATCAATCAATCGGCCAGAAAAAAAAAAAAAAATACATGACAGAAAACAGGAAGTCATTAATATGGGATAAACAAGAGTCTATAGAAAAATAGTGAGAAGTATATCAATGGAAGTAAACGCAAATTTAGATACATGTTATCCATAAGATAAATTCCACTAACCAAATAGAATTACATCTTCCATAACCACGTCACCTGAGAGATTTATGAGTTACCATAGAGTAGAGAACAATTTTTTAGCCAAATTGAATACCAGTCTCTTTTTTTGGAGACCACTGACCAGTTTTTAACCATATCATTTTCCATTGTCAGTTGGAATTTAATTTGATTAATTAAGGAAATTTTCTGAAAGGGATCAGAAGATTTCCACTGTCTCGCTATGATAATTTTAGCTGCAATAAAGCAGTGAATAGGTAAACAAATATGTTTACTTGATTATAAAGGCCAGTTCAAGTGGAGGAGGGCCAAAGCTGGATTTTTATTTATATCTTTAAATGATACCTCATTCAAAGATATTTTGGAGAAGATATTATAAGCCCAGGCCCATAATGGTTTTAGTACTGGGCAAGACCACCATGTATGGATATATGTACCCGAATAGGTACCACATCTCCAGCAAGTAGGATCTTGAGAAGTATACATTTTAGCCAGTCTTGTCGGAGTGTAATACCATCTGTGGAGTAACTTAAAGTGGCACTCAGTCAAGTTTAGGCCATGGACAGATTTGTTTATAAGAATTATAGAGGAAAACCAGTCCTTTGGGGGAATCACTAAATTAAGTTTGTTTTCCCATATTTTAACCAGTTTATAGGGAAAGGTATCTAGGCCTTTAAAAAGCAAGTTAGCTACCGAAATAACCTTGGGTACAGTTTGAAATGAAAATAAAGTTTGCAACTCTTTAGCCCGAGGAAAAGAAGATTGGTTAACATGTTTCTGAATATAGTGTTTGATACGGAAGTATGTAAATAATTCTTTAGATGGTATATGAAGACTTTCCACAATCTGTTGAAAGGGTAGAGTATTATCACCCTGCATAATATCCGATAAAGTTAGTGTGTCTTTGTTAGGCCAGTGTCTCAATGATAAATCCTCTACATTGTTTTCTAATATATTTAATTTACATGTTCTAGGAATTAGATAAATTAAGCCCAAAATTTTCTTAATTTCGGCCCATGTTTCCAAAGAGTGAGCCAACGATATTAAACAATTAGGCAAATCCCTTGAGAGCTTCCCAGGATCTGACCATATATAAGAATAGAGACTAGATGCATGTAAAGCTTCAGATTCCATATTATACCAAGGTTCAGAAAAAAAAAGTGGTTCTTGTAGAATATATATATGTCGTATAGTATTGGCATAGTAAAGATTAATAGTACTTGGAAAGTTTAGCCCTCCCTGGGACAATTTTTTAGAGATATTTTTTTTACTTATTCTAGGCTTTTTATTTTTCCAAATAAATTTATTAATGGCTGATTGAATCATTAATAGCCACACCTTAGGGGTTTTAAGAGGGACCATTGAGAACAAATACGACCATTTTGGTAAAATATAAGAATTTATAATATTAATTCTGCCTGTCCATAGTGTTTCTAAGTTTTTCCATTTTTTTTTGTTTTGATTCGTATCTTTCATTAACTGCATAACATTCCTCTCCATTATGTGGGAGGCGTTAGCAGGGAAACTAAGACCCAAGTAATTAATTTCTGTATCAGTCCAAATAAACTGATATTTTTGAGATAACCTTTCAACCTGAGTCAAAGATAAATTGATGGTTAAAGCAGTAGATTTTGAAATATTTAGCTTGAAGTTAGAGATATTAGAAAAATTATCAATTTCTTCCATTAGTGCTACTAATGAATCTTCCGGAGATGTAAGAGTAACCAAAGCATCATCGGCATATAATGCAATCTTAATATCTTGAAATTTTGTAGGGACCCCCTTTATTAATTGAATATTTCTAATATTAACAGCAAGGGGTTCAAGAGATAAGATATAGAGAAGCGGTGACAAGGGACATCCCTGTCTTGTTCCGTTTTTAAGATCGAACCAAGTCGAAGTAATATTGGGGCGTACGGTTCTGGCCGAAGGAACAGAGTACAATACCATAATTGCGGTATATATCCAACCCCTAAAGCCATATGCCTTAAGGAGTTCTCTTAAATAGCCCCACCCGACCCTATCGAATGCTTTTTCTGCGTCCAAAGACAGGGCCAAGAGGGGCTCATTATGGACTTTAGCTAGACCAATAATATCTATGAGCTTTCGGGTGTTATTTGATGCCCATCTTCCAGGGATGAACCCTATTTGGTCTGGATGAATGAGTTTAGTAATAACAGTTTTCAATCTCTCAGCAATAATGGCGGAGTATATTTTCATGTCAACATTAATTAATGCAATCGGTCTATAGTTTCTTGGGTCCGTACTGTCTTTGCCCGGTTTCAAAATAGGGACAATATTTGATTGCAATAATTCCTTTGGTATGACCTCATTTTCTGCAGCTTCATTGAACATTTCAGTAAGGGGTTTTAAGAGATAAGATTTCATATATTTATAATATAAGTTTGTAAAGCCATCAGGGCCAGGAGTTTTATTTGTAGCTAGTCTGTCAATTTGAACTTGCACTTCTTCAGGAGAAATTTTTTTATTCAAATTGGTCAGATCCTGGGAAGAAATTCACAGGATTTGGGAACTTAATAAATATCCCTTGATGTCCTTTAATTCTGGGGACAACCTTAGATTGTACAAGTCTTGATAGAACTGGTTAAACTTTTGTCCAATCTCCGATGGGGTGGAGTATACAATTTGATCAACCACCAATTTTTCTACTCTATTTTTAGCATATTGATTACGTAGCCTCCTAGTTAGACTTTTACTCGCTCTGTTGCCCAAAATATAGTGATTTAATTTTAGTTTATTTATATTTAACTTGATTTTTTCCTCTTCTTTTAAATTAATTTGAGTTTGTAAGTCTTTTAAATGAGTTCTCAGCTCAGGGGAAGATTGTAGTTTATTCATTTTAGAACATGAATAGAATTAAATATATAAATCAGGCATTTTTTTTTTCCCATTATTTTTCTTAAGGAGATGGTCTATTTCAATTATATAGCCTCATTACGGATTTATGAGAACACCAATTTATTAAAGGGGAAGTGTCTCGCGGATTATTTTTTGCCCAAAAATATTCTAATAATTTGGTCAAATCCTCCCTATTGTTAGAGTCCTTTAAAATGGCATCATTCAATCTCCAAGTGTTACGAAGGAGACCTTGGATTTAATTTCAATTGTAGTTTTGTTCTGTCCGTTTTATTGTGGCACTCAAATTCTATAACAGTTAAAATTTAAATATGCATAGGCTTCACAGCCACACTGGTCTTTTGGTTTGGTCATGCCCATTGCCTTGATTTCTGCTGGACCCTGCAACCCTATCTCTGCTGTCTTCTGTAAACAGAGGCAAGTTCATTGAGAATTCTTAGGGATAAGTGTACAATACTTTTTGACAAATAGCTAAACCTCCATAAACAAAAAAAATTAAAGAAAAAAGCATAAACCAAACCAAACAAAAAATACAACAAGAAAAAATATTCAAAAGGGAAGAACACATTCTGAAATAATCAATAGCAAGTTACACCCTTACCAAAATGATGGGACTCACAAAATGCAGCTATAAAACAGAAAACTACCACTATTCCAAAACGTCATAAAAGGGAAAGAAATAAAGAG